ATTTCCTCACCTACTCACTGAAAGATGCTTTAAGTCATTTTCCCCTGTATTCAGGACGCTGCTGCAATCTGTAAGGGTTAATCACAGAAATTATGGTCTAAGGTCAGGTTGGAAAATGCAAAACAAAACAGGTGTGTAGTTCAGTCATTACTATTTAAGACCAGTAACCTGTGAAAATTGACTCTGATTTGGTGCTCTCTAAAACATGCAATAAATTATTAAGAAAATTAATCTTTTAAAGTTTTGCTTCCATAAGATGTCTTGTGAAACTTAACTGGACCAAACTTCCAAACAAGCTGTAATGAACCATATGCTCATAGAACTCTTCAAAATACTTTTACATCTGCCTCTCCTGTTGATTCCAGATACCTCTGAGGGACAATTTAAAGCCACCTTCACTTCTGAGTTTTTTAGTTCTCTCTAAGTACAATATGCCAACATGATGTAGGTAGACAGACCCTTTACTGTAAGTAAATAATCAAGACCTTGGTTACTGACCATCACTTTTCTTATTTATGATCTGAGCAGAATTCAGCAGCAGTGATTTTAGTCCTCCCTGTAATCTCATAGTAGGAAATAAAATACACTGCATTGTGAAAAGGCAGCCATGATTTATTTAAACATTATAAACCGTCTTGAAATTCATATTTTTCATGAGGAAAGAAGGGAATAATTAATGAAATGAGTGAACGAAATAAAAGAATGAATGAAAGCAAAAAGCTATTTCTGGACTTCTTCCACGGTGAAGCTTGACAAATGCAAGTTTCTTGGAACATTTTTGTTAGCAATACTAGAGTTCATGTATAATCATTGATTTTCAGTTACTCAGTTCCTACAGAGAAAGAAAAGCATTTGCCTGATATATTAAAACCTCCAGCACTTTTCAGTGGGGTCTACAGTTCTAAATTCCTAAACGAAATTTCCCTAATAAATCTTCATTCCTCGTATGAGGATCATCAGCAAAACACGTCTATATCTTGTGATTGCAGGCAGTGAAGGAAGTAATGCTTGTTTTGCTTTATGGAGGAGAACTTACAATAAGTTTCTCTTGTGAAATTTGCTTACAGCCTTCAAAGCGCCAGGAACCTCTCACCTCAGAGGAGCTTCTCATCTGAATGTAGGAATATCCCAAGTCTGGCCTGTTCCAAGTTCAACCAACAGTCTATTTCGAGCTCAGCCTATAAAGTTCTGTGCGTGCGTTTGGACCGGCGATCGTTTTGTTACGAAAAGCAGAAGAGCACCATCAAACCTGAGAAGTGTTAGCTCCCAGAATTCTGCTTCCTTGCAAAACTTAGGGACACAGATCAAACAGAGATTAAAAAAAAAAATCTTGCACAGGCAGCAACTACAAACACCTCGGTCAGATCCTTTTCGAATCAAACCGTGGGGCTTGCACGACACACAGGTTTGGTTCTGATCATTAAACTCTGCAGGCTGTGTTTCCTTGATTTGATCACATTAATATATTCACCTTAAAACCACACCGGTGCCTGCATTTGGTTTGTTGCCCAGCAGTAAAGAGAAAATACGTCATAAATTTTAGAGAACATTGAACTTGGTGGTGGTTCAGCAAGATTATGTTTTTCAATTACATGTGATTTACTAACCTGCCTAACAGACAACTTCATTTTACAGAGATGTCCTAAATCTTAAAATCAATCTTAACAACACATTAGGAACTCTCACTCTAGCCTTTGATATATTTTCTGGGTTTTGATTTCCTCATGCCTTAAATATTTTTCCCTTTCCCAGTCACTTAATTATATGAAATGACAACAAAATTGTTCTCTACAAGTCACTTTTTCCCCCTCCCTCTGACAACTTTCAGAGGTAACTTCTTACCCTCAGACCAAAATTTCAATGTCACCAACTTTTAATTCTACTCTTTGCCTTGCATTTCATGAAAAAAGGACAGGATTGTCAAACTTACATGAAAAATTATTTCAATATGCTTTCCTAGTTTTAGAGATGTAATATTAACTATTCTATGAATTAAATATGCCAAATTTAAAGGAATTTTAAAGTGCAGTTTCTACAAATTTGAATAAGATCCAGTCATTTTTTTAATCAAAACCATGTTAAATATTCATTCAAGCTTCACTGTGAGCACTTATAACAGAGTAAACCCTTCAATGTAACCATCAATATAGCAAAATCCTCAAATAATCATGGAAAAAATTGTATTGCATAAAACTAAGCCAAATTTTTAGCCAATATGTGCAAAAGAATACACTACAATGATGGCTAGTAGCAAAGAGTTCACACTAAAATACAAGTTATTGCTAACATACAGATAAAACTCAAAGCAAAGCCAGGGTGTGATTACAAACAGTGTGAAGATTAAAAAAAAAAATCTGGCTGACGCTACAATATCACAGTATTTTTAAAGTATCTTAGCAGTGACAGCTGTCCAAAATATTGTACAAGGCAGGATGACAAAAGAAAATCTGTAGACTGTTCTCTAATTTTATATATTTTATATATATAATTTTATGTATTTATATTTAATTATATTTTTGTATATATTTTTATATAATAGTCCTCTTGAAGTAGAAATATTAACAGTCAAAGAACAAGATCACTTGCATACACTGACCTCATTACCGGTACTCAGATCACTACCCCGAAAAGAGCTGATTCTTACAAGGCAGTTAAAGGTCAATCACTTCAAAATATCAAGGGAAAAAAAAACACAGGGAAAACAAAAGTTGCATTACACTGTAGATCACTTGAAACTCATAACATTTTTCCATGCCTGTAAGAGTTGAATAGGAAATATATTCTGGCACCAAAAGAGAATTTAAGCTCCAAAAAACAGTTACGTCACATTGTCTAAATACGTGTGTACACACACACCCGTGGTTGTCCAGACATTCCAACAACTCCCATCTACCAAACTAATAATAACAATCTTTTAATTCCTCCTCCATCCTACACATTAATAAAACCAAAATCATCCTGTATTGCCACGGCACAGAGTCTGGAGGTAGGGTAGGAGCTTTCCTTGGGATGACTTCAGGTAGGGCCACCACACTAGCAAAGGTTGAGCTGCTGAATATTCAAAATTATGCTTAATTTAAAGAAGCTAGAATTTCTCCATTGCCTTTAATTTTCAATTTTTGCTTTTTTAAGTAAAATCAGGCACTTAATCGAAATGTCCTTTTCAATAATCTCCACAGTGAGCTACAGCTTCTACATGGACATACTTTGTATGTTATACAAAATAGATAATGTTCAATAGCGACTTAAGACGGAGAAAAAATAGACAGAAAAGTTAACTAAACTTCTGCAAAACTGAACTGCCCACAAGGAAACATGATACATAAGTTGTGGACAACCAAGTATTTGATATCCCACAGGACGTCCCTTTCCCTGCTTCATTTAATGTAGAAATTTAACACGTCCAACACTATCAGTCAAGAGACTGTGCTTCAGAAGATTCTGCAGTTACGAAGCAGAGAATATCACAGAGCTTTGGCTGAAAACTAAAGTACCTGGGACTCTTTAACTGAATTGATCAACAGCCTGAGAAATAACGAGCTCCACAGGCAATCAGATTTTACTGGAAAGCAGTGCTATGTTCATGTTTGTCAGCGAGTTCATCAAAGAACGTCACCATTCAGGCAGGAATGCCAGGTGAATCACTCCTGTGATTTGAAAAGCCTCCTTTACTAAGAAAATAGTGGAATTTGGCATAAAATGAAAAGAAGAAAACCAAGTACACAGGGAAAGAAGAAAAGCACGTTTTTCAATCCAATGTCCCCTTTGGAACTGCCAAAGGAAAGTTTTCAGACACAGAACCCAGGGTACAAATGTATCCATGGCTGATGCTGCTCTGCAGACCTAAAAACTGACTTCTCTGAGCTCACAACACACACCTGCCACAAACCATCGTTTTACAGATGAGAACCAGGGCAATCATGGCCAAATCCAGTAGGTGATGTGAGCAAATGCTGCCAAATCCTTGAATCCTATGAAGAACTGAGGCAGCGATTTCAGGGACAGCTGATTATGCTTAAAGAACAACATATTTACAATAAACAACTTTAAACCATTTTTAATCTTCCCATCTATAAACAAAGTGCTCACAGGTTTTAACACATGAGTTGAGGATGGTTCACATGCTTGAAAAAATCCCAGGCAGTTCAAAGGGTACACAAATACTGGAGTTTGGGGTTGTTTTAGTTTTAGTAGTAACATAGACAAAAGTGATGGATCACTGTTCCTTAAAACTGATCCTTTCTAGCTCATCAAAGTATTAAAACACAGAGCACAGAGTCAATTTTGCTTTAAAAGCAAAAGCTGTGGAAACAATTTTCTGATGACGTGAGGACTTTCTCTGCAATTTGTAACTGACATAGAATTGTTGGGGATGAAACATTCCATGTTCCAAAGCCTCTTAACAAGCCTTTCTGAGAACCTCAGAGAGTAGTCACTTTATTATGATTCTTCAAAATTAAATTAATTCAATTTTTCATTGTTGGAACATCATTCTAAATGCACAATTAAGATAAATAGTTCTTCCACACTACCCAGAGTAGCAACTTTTTCTGTACCTAAAAAGTTAGTAATGCAAATGTCTAGATCATACTAAGGCATAAAACACAAAGTACATTACTATTCCATTTAAAAAAAAAAAAGAAAAGGAAAAGAAAAAAAGGAGAGAAATTATTTTCAAACCACACACTGCCAGGCAAATGGAAACTTTAAGTATCAGCCACCTCTCATACATAACAAGCAGGACTGCAAATTACAGGAAAAAGTGCACGGTCAGGTTTCATATCTACTATCGCTGAACAGTGGCACTCAAAATAAAATAGATACCAATTCTACGTTTATCTTCAGCTAAGTAAAATATCTAAAGGAAAATAAAATTCCTATCAAATTCTCCTGTATCAGAGATTGCCAGTAAATGAAAACATTATCATTCTCGGGCTGCTAAAAATTACAAGCCAGTACATCCCCTAAAAAGATCATCAATCGATTCTGACACTACTCACCCCACTGGAGAGGAGCCAACTGTAGATGCTCCAGGACCAGCTGATTAAGAACTCCTTCCACACTTGCTTCCCCTTCACGCTTCAAGGAAGGGTAAATTGGAATTAAGGAAAATTTTGTTTCAGAGAGAAAAAGGGCACGTAATATGTACAACTTTTACGATTGCAAATCGAAACTGCAAGCAAGAGATTCTTTAAAGGTTAATGTTGCATTTGGTTAACTAACCCATGCACTGATCAATAAAAATTACAGTAGTTGATAACTTCAGAATATAGGTACTTAATTCCACAGAACAGTGTTGAAGCAAAGGTAAAATACACCTGAACCATAATAAAACACAAGGGTAAAAGAGTCTGGAAGCTGTAAGAATGCAAAACCTGTAAGTCTGTGGCGCAGGATGGGAATTCAAGGTGATAAATTAGGAACAATCTGAGAACAAAAAGGTTAAAATTGAACAGGGCAACACGAAACAGAACAAATGTCTGCTAGGACAGCATTTAATGCTGGCTTGGTGCCAGTTCTGGGGAGGTACAGGGATGTTGGACAATGCAGTGACAGTGCCATTACTGAGGGCAAACGTACCAGGACCACACAGGTACACAACCTGAAAGCTTTCCTTCCTACCCTGCATGAGCTGAGAAACAAGCTCAGACTGAAATGAGAGAAAATGAGAAAATTGTTGTTCCTCTAAGGACAGCGAAGCACTGAACTAAACTGTTGGGAAAAGGAGAATCTCTTTCAAAAGGGCTTCAAAACAGGTTGCACAACAAACACTGAAATAACAGCATAGGCAATATCCAACGAAACACAGAGACAGGACCATCCATTTAAACAAATTAACGGTAATTTCATGTGATGTGCCAATGACAGCAACGTGCATTTGTAACAGGAAGAGCACCGGATTTCTTGGTTCCAATTCCCTGAATTCAGGAAGGCACAGAACTCAGAGGGCTTTGGAGCACGGGCAGGTGTCAGCACCATCCTGTATTCAGCCAAGGTTGCACTTTGGTGGGATTTTGTACCATGAGGAGCCCCTGTCCTGCTGAGGGTGAGAGAAAGAAGTGGAGGTGGAGCAAGGATGGCTCCCTCGTAGATGCACATGAGCTTCTAGTGTGTGCTCTTACACCAGAACTGTACTTAACCAGCAAAACCTGCATCACCTTCACAGCTCAGCTCATGACTGCACAAAATGGGAGCATCACACAGAAAAATCTTCAGATGAAACACCCACAGATGAAGTGGTGTCCCACCACAATTAAAGGATAAGCTCCCAGGGAGATCCATCAAGTACTGGAACCATGTTCAGCAAACACACAGCAAAAAATGAGAGGATATCTGAGCTTTTATAAACAGCTTCTAAATGCGACCAGTCATTTTTCTGCAAAACTCTGGAAAGAGAGGCACATCATCTGACTGCTAGAGTATGTACTCACCTATGTCATTTAAAAGAAAATTAACAAGTACTGCAGATAACTAATTTCTATCACAGGATATCATTTCACAGGCTCTACATAAGATTTAAAAGAAAAGTCTTGAAGCCTCAGAACGAGAATAGATCTATCAATTAGTGACTGAGATTCAGGAGCTCAAGGAGATGACAGAAGAGGAAAATCAATATACTGTACAAGATTCTTGCCATTATTTTTTAAAATATTCTCATTAAGCCCTGAAAAATGTCATAAATAGCACTTCTTTTTTTCCCTGAAAAGACCACAAATAAAGAATTCACAAACCTCTAAGAGTCTAAAAAGCTGTAAACACCATTAAAGAAAAGCATCTATTTGGAAAACTGAAGGCAGCAGAGTATCACCTTAGAAGAACATTGCTGCTGAAAAATAAGACTCAGAACACCAACACAACTGAGTAATTTCCACAGAACAAACTAGAGGATAGAGAATGCATAATTGGGATTACTTCACAGAAACAGCAAATAAATAATTCTGTTATCACATCTTTAATGTAAGGAACATAAGTTAGAGAAAACACTAATAAAAAGGCAGTATTTAAAAGACTCTTTTAAACAGTGGCTGCCATTAACTGTAACATTAAACTAACTTAACTGTAATTTACTTACAACTGGCTCACAGTGGGGCCTGGAATATTACAGATTTTTACTCCTTTATGTCTCAGGTAACAGTACAGAATTGCTATAAAATAGGTGATCCTCTATACTTTATCATTGGTAAGTGCTGTCAAAGCAGATCCAGGTATTCACATGTAGAACATTCACTCTGGAAGGTAAAGCCAGGAGCATCTGGAGTGCTGTGTCCAGTTCTGGGCTCCCCAGCACCAGAGAGATCCGGAGCTCTTGGAGCAGCTCCAGTGGAGGGAAACAAAGATGCTGAAGGGACTGGAACATCTCTCTCCTGAGGAAAGGCTGAGGGAGCTGGAGCTGTTCAGCCTCAAGAGGAGACACTGAGAGGGGACCTCCCCCATGTCTGTGAGTGTCTGCAGGGAGGGAGCAGAGGATGGACCAGGCTCTGCTCGGGGGGGCCCAGCAATGGCACAAGAGGAAGGGGCAGGAACTGATGCCCAGGAAGTTCCACCTGAACATGAGGCAGAACTTCTTTCCTGTGCAGTGACCCAGCAGTGGAACAGGTTGCCCAGAGAGGGTGTGGAGTCTCCCTCACTGGAGATATTCCAGACCTGTCCAGACACAATCCTGTGCCATGAGCAGAGAGGTAGGACCAGATGACCCCACTGTGGTTCCTTCCACCCTGAGCGTTCTGTGGCTCTGGGATTCCGTAAGGCTGGTCAGATCACACATGTCTTCAGGAAATAACCTGCATTTGTCTAATGAGATCACTGAATGAAGCAGCACAAGGGAGTTTGGTGGCAAAGGAGAGAACGGCAAGGTTGAGATGCAATCAAAGAAGTTGACTTGTTAAAACAAATTACGTGTTCACATGGACCTAGAGGGGCATCTGGAATTCTGTACCATTGATCTTTATCTCCTGACTATATTATCAGACAATCACATAAAATTGCTCATTATATGAGAAACACAAAACTGAACATTGCAACAAACCCATTACCTTGGAGATGAAAAGCGACCAAAATATGCAGTAAGAAAATGTCAAAGGGACAAGAGACAAAAGCTTAACTCAAGAGTTTGTGTATTTTCTAAGATAACCCTTGAGAAGTCAATGAAAGCAAAGCAGTTGGAACAGGGGTGGCCAATATACCCTTTCATTCCTAGCTCAAAGTCAAAGCTGATAAAAGACGCAAGTGTAAGATCCAGGATTTAAAATTCATTGAAAAAGACTGTACAGATAAACAGAAGCAAAGGCTGCCAAGGCTAAGTTTGACCTTGCAGGATCTCTCTACTTAACTAAACCTTCACACATTTTGCTGAAATCTCACTGTAATCACAAACCTGCTCTTCTGTAGGACTGTTGACCCTGCCCTCACTTCCTACAGTCAAATCTTTGTTATTAACAACACACGCACCAGCCAGGACTGAAACAACTGACTTCTGGTTTTCAGTGCAACTGTTCATATTTAACAACTCAAGACTACACTGTCAAATAGGCCTCAGAGCCAGAGAACACACAATCACCAGATGCAGTTAAAACAAACAAACAAACAAACAAAAAAAACCCTAATTTTTCACAGTCGACACCCTTGTTTCATGTTTCTGTAGCAACAGAACGAATATGATATAAATTGTTTCATACCAAAAACCTAAACAACAGTCAAGTGAACTAGTTATTTCCCCATGGAAAACTTTGGTCTTCTATACTCTCTGGATTGCCTAATGTGTAGCTGGGTACCCACAATTAGAACACAGCAAGTTATCTAAAATCTCCTGCTTAAAAAGACAATACATTTTAAAAAATGGTTTGTATCTGGGAAGTTACTCTTGTTTTTTATCCTTACAGCATTCCACATCTTGCATCTTAAAAAAAATAATTTTCAATACACATCTCCTTTGCAAATAAAACCAGGTGGAAGAATGCACATAATGATAAAAAATTAGCAAATGTTCATAAATAAGAATTTCATTAATTGAAAATAAATTTACATGATTAATGATCACATTTTACTTACAGCAGTAGCCCTAATCATATTTTAAGCTTTCTGCTTGATTATCGTTGTGGTACTTCATTATTAGAACTAATTATATACAGTTATTTGGGGTCCTAAATGATAGTTACTTTTTTGCAAACAATTGTTGTTGCTAAGAAGCTGCAGGGAAATGTAAGGAAACCTCCACTGGTGTACAGAAGTTCCGCAACACGTAATATCCTCATAACCTAAGATTCATAATTATGATCAAGATGAAGTCATCAAAAGCTGAATAGACACAGAAAAATGAATTTCAGTGACAGCAAAATCAGTGATTTGCTGTCAAGTAAATGAGATGGCTCAAGGTTCACTAATCTCAAAATCCTGATTGGCTACTTAAGATGATAAAATACAAAAAGCATTCATAATTTTTATGTATTTGGAAAATATGTCAGTGTTCAAAAACCTAATAAATAAGTGGAATTTATGAAGATTATTTAGATGAAAATCAGTGAAGAAAAGTTCCAAGTATCACCCAAGAAAGAATCAACAATCTATAAACTGGTATTTGGGAATTCAGTCAGTTGTGTTGAACTATGTGAAATAAAAAAAAAATCAGTCAGACAGGACACACTTGCAAAAGAATTAAAGAACAGTTCTCAGAGCAAACCTATTTGAAACCTGGGAAGTGCAGCTTTTATTCTGTGAGAAACCTCACCTGCAGTATTGCTCCCACCTTTGGACCCCACATATTGAGAAAAACGGAGCTGTACTGCAGAACAACATCAGCAATATGACTGCAAGAAAATGTGTTTCGAAAGAAATTTTAGGCAATTAGGTTTAAATATAGAAAAGAAAAAAACTGAGGAAGGGGCACAAAATACAATTTAAAAAATGTAAGGAAACATTGCAAATAGGACAGGCTTCCTATACATCACAGATATTAAGGCTGAAGTAAGGGGAAAAAAAAGTTTACCTATTAGAAAAGTTAAAAATGGAACATGATATTCAAGGTGGCACTAGAAGTCTCATTTTTTTCAAGGCTGTTAGGGCCAGGTTTAGAATATTTTCAAGAAAATGACCCCAAAATGTTATAGTCTCATTTCACTGAAATAGCAATTCCCTCACAGTACATTAGAAAATTCCTCTGGCTGCAAAAGAACCTATGGAGAGCAGGAGATGGAGGAAGGAAAAGGAGTTTAGTTTTCAGCAGTCATTCTCTGACCCAGCCCTCTGCCTGGCTGCACAAATCACAGAATAATTTATACTGAAAGGCAATTCCAGAGCCACTGTCCAACCCCGTGCTCAAAGCATGGAAAATACTGAAATTGCATCAGGTTGTTCAAGGCCCTGTTCAGAATTTTTTAACATCTTCCAAGACAGCAATTTTACAGCACTTTTGGACAACGTGTTCAAGCATTTGAGCACCCTCATTGTGGAAAGGAATTTTCCTAGCATCTAACTGGAATTTACCTGGCTGCAATTTCAGGACAGGCCTTGCTTGAAGAGCCAGATGAACTTTGTTGACTGCTGTAACTCTCAGGCTTTGAGGTTGTTCCTTGAGACCCATCAGCTCTCCTGGGACCAAGGGCAGCCTTCCAGGCAGTCTTCCAGTTTGACAAGGTCTCCTCAACTAAAGTCCAGAGTCATTATCCTGCTACTTGACCTCCTCACTTCCCTCAGGATACTGAACTCCACCATCTCAGGACAACTGCAGCCAAGGCTGCCATCAAACTTCACCTCTCCAACTGGATCTTCCTTATTTTCAAGTAGCAGATCCCACACAGCACACACCAAACCATTCCATCCAGCACCTGTACACTAAAAATGTCCATAAAGAAGTCCAGAAATAATCTAACCTGCAATTGGAAGACTTCTTCCAGTTCATCCCGCACTGCTTCTTGTTTGGGTGGCCTGTAACAAATGCACACCACCTCAGTCTGTTGGATGACTCTCCTTGACCCAAAAGCTTTCAGCTGGCCCATCCCTCCTTTCCTAACAATTCCCTGTGCACTCTGATTTCACCTCCACCTGCTTTTGCAAGCTCAGGTGTAAGCTGCTGACATGGGCCCTTGGTCACACCTCAGGGTGGATTCAGTGATTTTAAGTCATCTTAACCCATCACCTTCCCACGTTTCCCCTTCTTGCCCTGCTCTACAGACTCTGAGGCCCATCCTGAAAGGTACCAAGTTCCTTGTAGTTCATTAAGCAGCAGCAGCAAGAGTTATGACAAAAAAACAGACAAAAAACAAGCATAAATAACTTCTTGATGTTTTTCCTAGAGAAACCTTTCTGTTCTTCCTGTGAAGAATGTCCCACCCTCTGAACACTGAAAAGTCTTTGTTTACTCCTCTAAAAATGAGGATCACCTGCATGTGAACCAATTCCCTGAAATAATTCTGAACATGTTGCAATTTCTTAAGTCAAAATGTAGACTGCAGAAATCAATTAAATACTCTGAAGAGTAATAATCTACAGTGGGTCTAAAAACTTCTCCACAAAGAGAAGTTTTATCTGCCCATCACTTTGCACACGGGGAACACGACATTTCTTACTGCAAGACTTTGAAGAATTCAGGTATAAAGAAACAGTGAAAAGATGAAAATCTTAGAGAACTCAACAAGGGAAGCAGCATTCTAGAAACTTCAAAGGACACAATACAGATGCCTCGATCCATGAGTTGGAACGCATAGAAGGTCCCAAAAGAAAATAAAAATTTCGCTGAAAAATATTCAGAAAATAAGAAGAAAAGCATAATTAGTCACCTTAATAGTACATGTGCTCTGTCTATTCCAATTCTGTGTTAAAGCAAACTCCATTTGTTAAACTGATACCAGATGCCACCCCACAATGCTAAAAACTAAGACAGTGTATTTTTTAATTTCAGTGATCTCAATACAACTGTGTGCTCAAAGATACACTAAATTACATTATTCCAGATTTTTTCTACATTGAAAGAGTATGGCAGTAAGGGTTTTCATAAGAAAGTCTATCTTCCTAATAATTTTCACTCTATAAAAAATGTGCAAAGGTTGAATTGAATAATATGCTGTTTTGTCTTTACCTTCTCCCTTTAGCCCTCCAAAAGAACACGAAAAATCAATCAAGTTTTACGATACTTTCATAAACGAAGTACTGAAAATCTCATCAATTGAAACCCTTAGTATTTCAATGGATAAAGCCATGGAAAATGGATTTTCCATACTGGAAAATTCTTCTAGTGCTAAAATCCTCTTCCTTTGTGAGCTATTTTTGGTCCACAGGGGAATTCCTTATAACTGAACTTCTCACTGCAGTCAATGTAATCCACACACTTCAAACCTGAACACTTTGTTTATGTAATGGTTTCATGGGGTATCAACCAATACAGCAAAAATTTAAGAAACTGCAAGCTAAAAAATGCAGCCTTTCCCTCGTACACAACTTAAGATTATTTACAACAAAACGTCTGAACCCTGTTCTCTCAAATGCACATCCATTTGGTCACGCACATGGTTATCAGAGAAAAGTTACCCGGGTTCAAAGTAGTTCAGAGATGATGGATTAAAAAAAAGAGATCACTTGGTCTTACCATTCAAAGGGCTTTTGCAAAAATGCCTTTTCCAGTAGGAAACATAAGCAACTGTATCCCTTTGCATCCCTTTGTATTTTTGCAAATCCTTTTGCTCTCTTAGCTGTGCTTAGGCTGACTCCTGAAGGAAAAGGCTTATGCAGCTAAACTATCCATCCCCTTCTCTGCCTGCCTGTGCATCAGAACGTCTGAAATAAGCTCTGTAAAACTACTCTGGTGGGAGAAAAATGTCTCAGAAAACAAGTTTCTTAAACTTGGCAGAAGTGAGAGATGAATTTTTATTGGTGCACATCTAAGTGTCGCTGTAAGAAATAAAAAGGATGAAGCCACGGGAAGTGCAAGTAGGACATCAGGAGGAATTTTTCACTGAAAGGTGGTCAAGCATTGGAATGGACAACTCAGTGAGGTGGTGGAGTCACCAAGAAATGACTCCCCATGGCACTCAGTGATGTGGTTTAGTTGGCATGACAGTATTTAGTCAAAGTTTGGACTTGATGATCATGGAGATCTTTTCCAACATTAACAATTCTATGATTCTACAAGAAAGACGAACTCTAGCCAGGACAGGAAACCTGGAAAAGAATTTACATATTTCTTCAAGGATTTTTAAGCACATCTAAAACTTCTTGCCTTCCATTAATTAGAATAGTTTTAGTTCCTGAAACAGAGAGAACAATCACCATAAAAATAAAAACACAGAAACTAATGCTTGCACTCATTCAGCACACAGAATCCATGCTTTGGTGTACTAAGGTACTGGCTTACATGTCAGCCACAGCAGTTTTGGGGATCAAAACTGGCCTTAAATACATAACACAGGATGGATGTAAACAGTGTTGCCCAGCAACAGAAATGAGTGAGGATGTATTTTTACACCTTGACAAAATGATTACAACTATGCACTCAATTTCAGCGTAAGAATTCATCTCTGCTACCATGGAATATTTATATCTTCCCATAACACAGACATTTTCTAAGTGAGTTTTGGTTAAATATTGACATTTTTGCATAAATGGAACTCTCTTTGAAATCTTGCTTAGGGAATCTGGACTGAACCAGGCACCAGGAGTCTTATTTATGACTCAAACCTTCCCTCTGACAAATCCTGTGCAGGTAATTTATTAATCACAGGATGGTTAAGGTTGGAAGGGACCACTGGAGGTCACCTGGTCCAACCCCCCCTGCTCAGGGAGGGTCCCCAGAGCTCGTTAGTCAGGATTGTGTCCAGTCAGCCCTTGAACATCTCCTGGGAGAGAGACTCCACAGCCTCTCTGGGAAACCTGTTCCAGTGCTCAGTCAGCCACACAGTAAAGATGTTCTTCCTCATAATAGTAATGAAACATCCTTTCAGATCACTAGATAAAAGTGCAATTAAAATTACAAACAAACAAAGCATGATTTGATTGCCACTCTTCTCTCATCTCCTGCCGCCCACTATCATGTGAATTTGAGGATGATCTGAGTGAAAAATATAAACCCTCTGGAAGGTGCTGAGCATTATCACATGGTTTGGGGGGCTGCTGGCTGTACAGAATGTTTCCCTGAAGAAAATCATGACAGAGTGTATTTTTGACAAGCCAAGCACAAGAATTTTTATAGAAATCATGGAATTTATGGCAACACCCTTGGTTTATTTTAACTCTAAACCAAATGCAATTTCTTATTAATAATCATAAGGCAATATTTCACTGTATTTAGAATTATTATAGGGATTTTATGTTTAGAATGACTAAGTCATCACACAGGTCCTGCCTAAGCCTTAAAAGGCTACACAAGATTAGATATATTACTAAATCTGTAAAGAGGACTTGGAAATAAATTATTCTAATATGTTCTGATTTACTCAAATTCAATTAAATATATGCAAATATATATCCTTAAATCCAGCTTCATGTATTTCTTCATGATTCAGTTACTTCGTGTGGGGGAGAATAGAAAAATTTGACCCTATAAATCCTAACTATACTTCTTCCTCAGCTCCCTAAAAGTTGGGAAAAACACACAGTATTTATGACAGGCTCAATGACTCAGAAAAAGCCATTACAGGATGACCCAAGCATCGCCTAAATAATATACAGCACAATTAACCTTAAGCAGTCTATAATTATGATAAGCTTCATAGTTCTAATTACTTTTCTTTTCAGCAACACTGCTATGAAGTGAGTTGAATTATAAAATAAAATGTGTCATAGGGCATCTATTTATATATTTTTAAAGCAAGTATTTATGAAAGGATATAATTTTCCAGCAAATATCCAGCTTGCTGTTAATCTCCAGACCTTTTGCTTGTTGCCTCTCTTCTTCCAGCTGCTTCGCGTTGGCCAAGGGTGTCCCATCAGCAGGGGATTCTGGGAAGCTCTCAAAACTGAACTTGTCCACTTGGATGGCCATACTGTGGCAAAGGAAAAGGAAGAAAAAAAAAAAAAAAACCACGGCATAATTTTCATTGTAACAGTTTTTACAGGTGTTATTTCTGCAGAGACTGCCGAACTGCTCTGTAAATTAATGACATAAAACCCACATGATTTACACTACTGAAAACAGAAGTCTAAGCCTACTGATGATGGCCAAATGTTTTACCAGTCATCAATCAGCATCTGAATGCCTTTGTGAGTGATGCACAAGACAGGCATTTGGCAGTTGCAACCAGCTGACCTTACTGTGGTTCTGCAGAGGTTCAGCAACCACCTGCACTCCTGGTGTGTAAAAGCTCCTGGTGTGCTCAAAACTTGCTGGAAAAGCAATAGGAGTGGGCCAAATGCTGATGAATATACTATTTATAGTCATTTAATAATACCAACCCATAAAAAAGGGAAACAAAATCTTACATATGAAAGCGTCTCCTGAAGTGCACTGTAACACACTTAGAAATTCACTGCTTGTACAAACAACTTCCTGAATTTTCCTTCCAAAACGCAGGAAGGAAAGACAAAATAAGCACAGCATTAGGGTCTGAATGTGGCCCTTGATTTCTTTATGAAAGGATGCTTCCATCTTGCTTAGTGTATCTTCATGAATTACAGACAGTATTAATTTCAATATCTCAGTATAATTCATTGGTAGCAAATGGTTAAATAATTGCTTTATTAAATGTACGGTAAGGCATAAAAGCTAATTAAATTAAATATAGTACACTATAATGCATACTAAATACTTATATGTTAAATTAGAATCACTAATCTAATATAAAAGGGAATTTAGACCAGCTCACATCACATGAAATGTGGTTATAGCAGATCTAATATACTGTGCTGCCAAAACAGCTTTAATTTCCTGAATCGTCTGAAATAGAAAAATAATTAGGGAAGAATTAAAATATATTGCTCTTGAGATGACTTTGCACTTAAGGAAAAGAGAAGAGAGAGCAACAGCTTTGAAAACCATTCATGATGAAAGGCAACTACAAACTAAGAGGGGGTCTGGGAAGGGTATTTCACAAAAACACAGGATTACTATTATTATTTTATCTAGTTCTACTTCTAAAGAAGGAAACATACTCTGTAATTGTTGCCAAAAGGAAAACACCAGTAACAAAAGTCAAGAAGAAAGAGCTTTGAAATCCCCCCAGACCAGAGGAGATTTTCAATAATTACCATTAATTTAAGAGAATCTTGACCCTGATAGAAACTGGGTGAAGAGAGATGGCAATTACAAGGACAGGGAACAATCCAGAGCCTGTGAAGTTTGGTGAGGGAAGATGGATTCAAACAGGCCTATCAAGATTGAGCCAAAAATGACACCCGAGGAGAAGCTTCTAATGTTCCAAGACTACCTTCTTGGAAGGGAAGGTGTCCCTGCCCATGGCAGGGGGGTTGGAATTGGCTGATCTTTAAGGTCCTTCCAATCACAATCAGCGATTCTATGACTAAGGCAAAGGTCTCCCTAAGTTACCCCTTGTGCAGAATTCATCTTTGGTGATCTTCACATGCAAAAGGCACAGGAATTAATCTATTCCTCTCCTAAGGGAGGCTTCTGTTTTGGCCATTTTTTCCTACAGCGAGAGATCATCAGAAGTTCTTCATTTGCATGCAAAGGCCATCACGTGCCGGGCATATTAAAAAGCTAAACGTGAGACGCAAAAGTGGATCCCAACAACTGTCAGAATCAAGCCAGAGACAAAGAATGTAATGAAAAACACCCAGATAATACAATCTGAAGAGTGGATTCTGAAAAAATATCAGGCCTGAAACTATGACTAACGACATCCCTTCTTACTGCCACTGAAGTATGACTTGATCCAGCAAATGCAGGCTGGGTTTCCCGGATCTGGCATGGGCAATGCATGTGGAAGGCACAACTGGAACATTACAAAATCATTTTCAGTCTTTGTTTCCGAGATCAGTTTGTCACTCTGTGGTACGTGAGCAGATGCAAACCCAGTACTTCATTCCTGTTATATACACAACACTGCTTAAATTCTCACAGAAATACAGTTAGTTCCTATAGCCATATCTTAATAAAATTGTCTCAGTTTCTGGACAGTCAAAAATATTTAGAATCCACCTCCCAAGGGACCTGGAAAACAGCTCCCATCTAATTATTGTGTCGTACTTCTCGAAGTGATTGATACTTCAGAAAAATATTCCTGTCTAACAATATTTAATATGTAACTGCAGGCATTCAGACTGCATTCCTCTGTTAAAGGATTGTTACTGGCAATATGGTAATTTTTTTTTCTGGAAATCAAATATGAATATAAGCAGTTTTTACCCCAACAGTGTGGAATAAATCCACATCAGCTTCAGGAATACAGCATAGATTACTCTTACCAATGGTTCACTGTGCACCTCTGCTTGAAGCAACTTTTATTCAGCTCTAAGTTATGGAAAACTTCAGTAAACAGGGCTCCTTTTACTCATAACCACTTACTAAGTTCTCAACTCTTCTAACCATGCTTTTATTTATACTGTGTAAACTGTATTTAGCGCAGTGACACCTCATGTCACATGAGCTCCAAAAAAACACCCCCAACAACACACTTGCCAGCTAGAAAGTGAAGAGTCTGAGTAAAAAAAAAACTACAGAGAGAAAAATATCACACAAAACAGTACTATGAACACAGTTGTAGGTAGAATATATGAAGGCAATAAATTGAGATAAAATATAATGTTTCAAGATTACAGATCCACTCAAAGAAAAGCACAACAAAATTAAATCCTGGTTCTTTTTCTGAAACATATCTCCCTTTTATCATCAGTATTCTGCTTTCTCTTGTGCTAAAAATATTCATATCAAGTTCTGCGTCTGCATTTTTTATCAGTAACGCTGCTTCGGTATTCATTCCATAGCCTATGGAATGTGTAGTAAATTGGAAGGCTCTGCACAAAAAATCAAAACAAAAAAGAAATACCACAACCTAAATCAGTCACTCATCCTTAAAACTGTACCCCTACTCAAACACAGTTTCTTTGCTTCGCTTTTAACGTGAAGATTTCTCCCATCTCCAAAGACACATTTCACCAGTGAGGTGTTAACTAATGGACAAACGATTCCCCAAAATAGCTGACTGAAGGAAGAAATGCATAAGCTGGACATTGGGTTACAATCACCAACTAAAAAATGGATTCTTTTAAACTTTTTCCATTGATCACATGGACTTCATGCCAGAAGAAGCAGAAGGCAAGGAAAAGCAACCTGAACACCGCCCAGCTTTGTCACTGGGCTGTGCATCAGAAAACCAAGACTAAAATCTATTTTAGCCATAAAAGTCATCCTCTGCTTTTGTCTTCTGCAGTTACTTTACAACCTGTTTCTTGTCAGGAGTTCTTCGCACTTCTTTTCTCCCTAAATTTGTCCTTGTTTGCTGTGGGTTACAAGAATCTATGGAATCTATACAGAAAGAGGTAAAAATAGACCATTCAGTTTGAAACAAGCATTGGTTTTATTGCAAACAGCCAAGATAATGATGGCTCATGTTGTGCACGGGCACCTGTACCTTGCCCTTCACAGTAATTACACATCAGGGGAAGCAGAAAAGATCTTAAAACTCAAAAGTTTAAACATATACTCACTCCAGGAAAAGGGACTAGAATTCTATTTCAACTTCTTTGCCTCATGGGGAGCTATCCAAATTTCTCACTAGATGAGTTATCAATAAATCATGAGATATTTGTATAAAAACACTGCATTATGAAAAAAAAAAAAAATTAAATATCCAATCTTGCAAATGCAAAACAGGTTTTGCTTCTCTCTGGCCAGCCTTGCCTGTGCAGGAGGAGGGATAAAGTAACAACAGTTTTCATGAATAATGAAACAATCGTGTTTTGAAACTACTGGGTTTTGTCATGAAACGAGCGCACGCCGCTGTGACAGCTCCTCAGACAACTGAGCATCCTTACAGGGATGCAAATTATTCAAATACAAATTAAGTGAATGAAGAGGAAAAGGTCAGCTCCTCGGCAAGGCTGATGATACGTCTGCACAGTATCATCCCACGTCATCTGTCAGGACGACTTACGGGGGGGAAATATGACAACCCTCCTGATGGCGCCGCCGACACCTCAATGACAGTTGTCTGAAGTCCCATTAAAGCAGCAGTGCAGAACTACTAAAGGCACCAGACAGCCCATTTCACCACTTCCCACAAAATGAGTTTCAGCTTTACTGGAAATCCTACTCTGCCCCTCAGCAGAAAGGTCTTGGTACGGAGAAACAGAAACTTCCTGCAAACGGCATCGCAACTCCTGAGCCAGTGCCTTGCACATCCCTCTTGCCTAAAGCTGTGCCAGTTAAAATCCAGCATCACTGACAGTTTCACAGAAGTGGTAACTGGCAGATAGAATTAAGAGGTGATAATTCAGTGAGGGAGTACTGCTGGGAGTGCTGTAAACTCCTGCCCTTGTTCCTGGCAGGACAGCAGGAAGGTCCCAGGCATATCCCATCCCCCAGTGAAGCAGCTCAGCTCTTTTCACGTCCTCTTCTCTTAGGAGAGGATGAATCTATGAAGTGAAATTAATTATGTGATACTCTCCAAATAAAACAGGGTTAAAAGCAGGCATGGTATTAAAAGAAAAGCAACATAACTAGATTTCATCTTTCATTAGGTGAATAAAATACTGCTGCTTAGCTTGGAAGAATAAAATATAGATATATTCCTTATTCAATTATCCTTAGGAAGAAACAATATAACAGGAACCCAAAAACTCCTCCTCATGGCTAACTACCTATTTAAATACTATCATCCATGGATGAGTTTGCAAGCTGCTTCCATAATGAAGCTGAGAGAAGGCAGTTGGAGCCTTTATTCAATATTATGTTTCCTGTTCTTTTTATCTTACATAAAGTAGACAGAAGGGACACTGAGCCAGACCATGTTACCACTACTTATGCAAAATGCTTATATGTATGAAAAGGATAGTGAATGATTTTAAATTTCAGGGAAAGCTTGAAGTA